CTAACTCGCCCCTAACTGACTAACTAACCAAGCCGCACCTTTCAGCAGCGTCGGTACCTTGCCCTCACGCTGCAGGCAGGAAGGTACATAACTAACTCGCCCCTAACTGACTAACTAACCAAGCCGCACCTTTCAGCAGCGTCGGTACCTTGCCCTCACGCTGCAGGCAGGAAGGTACATAACTAACTCGCCCCTAACTGACTAACTAACCAAGCCGCACCTTTCAGCAGCGTCGGTACCTTGCCCTCACGCTGCAGGCAGGCAGGTACATAACTAACTCGCCCCTAACTGACTAACTAACCAAGCCGCACCTTTCAGCAGCGTCGGTACCTTGCCCTCACGCTGCAGGCAGGCAGGTACGTAATTAACGACACTAACTAACTAACTAACTAATTAATTAACCAAGCCGCACCTTTCAGCAGCGTCGGTACCTTGCCCTCACGCTGCAGGCAGGCAGGTACGTAATTAACGACACTAACTAACTAACTAACTAATTAATTAACTAAGCCGCACCTTTCAGCAGCGTCGGTACCTTGCCCTCACGCTGCAGGCAGGCATGTACGTAATTAACGCCACTAACTAACTAACTAACTAATTAATTAACTAAGCCGCACCTTTCAGCAGCGTCGGTACCTTGCCCTCGCGCTGCAGACAGGAAGGCTGACAGGCAGGCACGTAACTTACTAACTAACTAACTAACTAACTAACTAACTAACTAACTAACTAACTAACTAACTAACTAACTAATTAACTAAGCCACACCTTTCAGCAGCGTCGGTACCTTGCCCTCGCGCTGCAGACAGGAAGGCAGACAGGCAGGCACGTAACTAACTAACTAACTAATTAACTAAGCCGCACCTTTCAGCAGCGTCGGTACCTTGCCCTCGCGCTGCAGGTACGTGATGACGGGGTAGAGGCAGTGCGTCGGCGTCACGTGGCACGCGTCGGCCGTCGCATCGTCGTACAGCACGACCTCGCGCGACGCCATGCGCCGCCGGAACGCCTCGCGTCCCTCCCGCGACATCACGAGGTCGGCGACGCCGACCTTGCCCTGCTGCAGGCGCCGCTTGTTGAAGCGGTCGGCGCAGTTCACGTTCAGCGCGCCGTGGATGTGCTGCGCGTTGTACGCGAGAAACGGACGGCAGTCGAGCAGCAGGAATGGCTTCAGTTTCGTCATGCGGGCCGCGAGCTCTTCGGGCGATATCGCCCGCAGCGGCAGCGGCCCCGCGGCGACGGCGACTCCGCCGTTGTTGCGCGTCCTCGCCGCGGCGGCCGCGTCGTACGGGAACGGATGCGGGAGGCAGAAACCGAATCCGCCCGAAGTCGGCGACGGGGTAAAGTCGGCGGCGGCGGCGGCGGCGTCGGCGGCGCGCGTACGCTTGCTCGGGGGTGAAGCCACGCAGCAGAGCGATCGCGGTCTCGGCCGGGCGAGGCCCAGCGGCGCGGCGGCGTCGTGGTCGTGGTCGCGTGGAGTATCCAGGATGAAGCAGGAGCGCTGCAGCACGTCGACGGATCCAGACATCGGCGGGCGATGATCCCGGGATCACGGTCGGGGGAGCGGCGTTCGTTCAAGACGTCTCGCGGTTCCCGTGTGGTCTCCTGCCTCAAAATCTTGTCACGGAGTTCTTGTCTCGAGTCCGGCTAACAGCGCTACAAGTGGAGATGGATGGAGGGGATAAATCGCAGAATACGACTATGTATTATTATTATTAGTATTTGTTATTATACGACTATGTGTTTTTGTGTCTTAATGTGTTTTTTGTCTCAATCGCATGGTAACCTCGTAAATAATAGTCTTCAAAGTCCAAGTATTGATCATATCGAAAGGGACTATATCGAAGACGGAAAGAGACAATTAACTTTAAGCTCATCAAATAGACAGATCAACCCTGCGGATTGCAGTGGAAAAAGCCTACCGCTTTGTACGTAGTATTGGCTACGTGAGTGTGGCAAAGCCCGAGTGCAAGTCAACTAAGAACACTCACTTCCTTACTGCCTATAATTGTTAGTTCCCACACAGTGAGACTGAATGCCACACTTGCTGAACACTGGGACGGAATGCATGACTAAGACTGAACACATGACTAGACTTACCTACAGCGTGGTGTAAAGCATTATCATTTTATATGATTCATTTAGGCATGCTAAAATCATAAACCAAATTCATACAGTGTGACGTATATATAGCTGACACCTTCACGCGAAGTTTAGGCTTGCAGTATAGTAGCTCCGAGAAACGGTATCGCTAGGGTTAGGATACCGTTGTATCGCTAGGGTTAGGATACCGTTGACGGATTGTATAGACAATCCGTCGCACAGCCTGGTCGGGCTAGCAGTATAGTAGCTCCAAGAAACGGTATTGCTAGGGTTAGAATACCTGTATATTGTTATTGACGTCAGTCACACAGCCTGGTCGGGTTAGCAGTATAGTAGTGCTAGTAGTAGAACTATACACATGTACGTCTCCGCGGTGTATCACTATCAGCGAGTTTTCACCTTTGCCCCTTAATCAGCTGCATCACACAACTGACTCATGCTAGCTAGTACTGGGAGGCTCCGAGAGTAAGCACATGAGACTTTCGACTCACGAACCAACCGATTACACGAAGTGCGGCAGAATAACGACGAAATAGCGAGTACTCACACATCCGCTGAAATATCCAGGAGCACGCTCTTTGACTAAACTACGGCGACATCGGCTCTAGACTGGACTAAGCTGATGAAAACCATAACGTCGAACGCTCATCATTTCATGAAACTCACAGCTCATATGAATGACATCATCGTTCATTCATCTATTTTTGGAAAATACGAAGCGCCGCGTCACGATCACGTGGCTAGTGACATCATCGCGCCCGAGCCGCTAGCGTACATCGTGCTGCCATCTGGTTGTAATTCGTTTAGAATATATGCGAATTTTGGTTCTGAATTGCAACCGAAGCAACAGGAGTACAATAATGATAACAAAAAATTCACAATTTTTGATAACGAATTTTTCTGAATTTTGATAACGACCTTCATATTTATATGTGATTGGATAATAATTTCAGCAGTGTGGCCTATGCTCCCGTAGAACAACTCTAAAGAAACGGCGTGAAGTAAAGTAATTGTCTGCATTATAATCGTCAATAAACTATACTTCCATAACAACAAAAATATTGTTACACATGTTCTTGTACAAATGAAACATTACGAAGATATTACATGATTTCAGTCACTAAATTCAAACTTTTGTACCTTAGTCTCCGTACGTTACGTCGGCCAGTCCGGGGGCCATGCCTCATAAAAAATATTGATGTGAAATAACGCGATATCTTGCATACTAAGCAACACTAAAACTTCATAAAACAGCTTTTATCCTAATGAGTGATTGGAAAGTCGAACCAAGCTAGTCAAATTTGTCTTCTTCAATGCTCACCTGACTGGAGTGTGGCGGGAATGCGATAAACGCAATTAACATGTATGTTCCTATTACGAAGACAGTAACAGGCTGTTAATTTCATGCTCACACGAAAGAAATTACGCGAGAAATATTATCATGAGTGAATAATAATAGATTATTAGATTAATCTATTATTATTCACGCCTAATATTATTTTGTGCGCACGTTTTCTATTTGTGTATATATTTCACTTATATATTTTACATACCAGAGCGTCCAAATACTCCGGTACAGCGAGATGCTCCGTCCAAAGTGAAATATTGAGAGCGGATTTTTCTATGCACATCTCACACGGGCATGCTCCTGCCCAGTTTAAGTGCGTAAGTTTCATCGAAATCGTATTCTCGTGGCTGGCAAATCAACGCGCGAAGGGAGCGCCATCCGCCGTGTACATTAGCATAAGAACAAGATTGTGGCGGGATGCTGCGGCCAATTTTGCCTGATTTTGTTATGCACATCTTTCTTGTGCATACTACTGCCCATTCTAAGTGCGTAAGTTTCGCCGAAAAGTATGCAAATTATTAAAAAAATGTGTAATATATGTAATAAATGTACAATATGTATACAAAAATCGTGTTTTTCTGGTTATAGTTATCATGTATGACAGTTACTGGATTTCTATACGCTTAAAAACAGTTCGCTGTAGTATTTCATTGCG